ATAAAACGACTTTAAAAAGGAAGGAAACGGCCAGAATGCCCTGTGGGAGCATGGGTGGTGAGCCTGCCTTGTGTGCTTTGGACTTGCCATCAGGAGGGACCAGGCCCTGGAGAAGGACATCCTGCTTGATAAAGTAGCAGTTAGTCAAAAAGAAGACTTCCACAAGAGAATGTCATTTCCACAGTTGCTGCACTAGTAGGCTCAAACACAGCAACAGAAATGAGGCTGACCCAGGACTGGGCAGTGTTTCCTTCCATTGTACACAGGACCCCTTTCCCTTCATAACAGACTCACACCTGTCTTAGAGAGGGGAGAGAGTGGTCAATAAATTCTGAAGGTTGTGTCACAAACTAACACTGGGCAGGACTGAGAAAGTTCATGCTAGTCAAATCCTGTGGTTCTGATTTCAACAACAGCAAGAACAAATCCAGAGACACTCAAAGACAATGGAAAGCGTAGCACATCCAGATGAGGAAAGGAAAGGGCTAGGAGGCCTTCTTTGGAGTCGTGGACAAGGAACAAGTGGAAGGAACCATAATAGCCGTGGCCATGTGATTGCCTGCTGTTGAGACAGCGCGACTCAGGGCAGCCCTTCTTAGCACAGGCAGCACAGTGCCTCGTCCAGATAAGGCCAGCTTCCCAGTCATTGCTGTGTGGACTCCCACTGTTGGAACCACTATGCCACGCATTTTGTGAGGTTTTCCTCCTTTTTCTGACCCTCTACTTGACCACACCTGATATCTTTCTCTTTTTTTTCTTTTATCAATTATTTAATTAGGGTCTTTGCAAGAAATCTAGAACACCAATTTGTGAGGCTAAATTCTGTCTGTGACCGTGAAGGTGGCACGCAAGTAGCCTTGGAGCTGGGGAGCAGTTTTGATTTTGCCAAATTTCCGAGTCCACGGCTTTCTGATCAGCCGTGTGCTGCTCTGTGACCTCCTGTTTCTCAAAGATCTCCCCTTCCTGGTGTCGGCTTCTACAGCTGCTGCTTCTTGAAGCAGGCGTCTGTGAGACGTTTGGGGATTTTCACACCCCTGATAATCAATTTTGGTGGAGGTGGCAGTGACGAATTTCTGGTGTGTTCTACACAGTCACAAGCAGCAAGCCACTGCCCAGACGCTGCAGGAAAACCACTCGCTTGCCTCAGTGGTGTCCCACCAGGACAATCAGAATGCTCCCTGGGATGATGCTGGCGTGCAGTCTCTTCCTGTGCGGATGGGGCACATCTTCCAAAGGGTGACCACTCTGGTATCACCATTCTTGTCATCACCCACTGGCTTTGTGACAGCAGCTAGGACCTACTGCTGCTGCTTCTCAACCCTGAATTTGGCTGGTGAATGCTTCCTCTTGGACGTGGCCTTTCTGTGCTATAGGGCGGAGGGGGACTGCCGGTCAATTCCTCTGACTAGCATGGGATTTCCCTTCTTGAGCTTGTTGCCTTCTTGGCCACTGGCATTTGCTCTCGTGACTTCAGGTTGCTTCCCCTTGGTGTCTGGTTTCTTCTCAGGCTTTTCACCTGCCATCCTGCAAGATGGGAAAGAGAATTAAGGTCTAATGTCTTTCTTTAGGGCCTGGTCCATTCTGATAATATGTCCAAAGGATATGAGATGAAGTCTGTGTTAGTCAGGATAGACTAAAGAAACAAATCAAGAGAGACTCATGTATGTATAAGAAAGAGCTTTATAGACAAGAGAAATTGAATCTTGAGAAAAAAACAGCCCAGTCCAGGTCAAGTCCATAAGTTTGATATCAGCCCATATGTCCGGTGGCAATCTATAAAGTCCTCTTCAGACTCACAAAACACATGCAACGATGCCGAGTGCAGGAAGATCATAGCCCAGTGGGTGGAAAGTCTTGTGGATTCAGTGGCGGTAGAGGTATCTCAGCACTGGCAGGGGTCTCCACGTGGCTCCTTCAGCTCCAGGGCTCTAGTGAAGCTCCATGTGTCTTGTCAGCAAGTGTGCCTCGCAGGGAGTGAGTGTGTGTCCCGCCTCCAGTGAGCTATTTATCTCCTTGTGCCTCCAAGTGAGGTCATCAAGCTGCAACCTGACTGACAGGCTAAACCCCACCCCCCAACCCCTAAGTCTCACATTGACAACAGATTATGTAACTACCACAAAGTCTCACCAGCCTCACTTGTAAGGAGCATTCTTTTCTTCCAAGACAGGTTTGTTTGTTCTCTGGCAGTCCATGGTGCAGTCAGTATGCTTAGCCAGTGGTGTATGCCACGGGAATCAGTTGTTCAGTCTCTCTTCCTTGTCTAGCAGTCACATGCATATGAGGCAGTTAGTGTGACATCTGCACTGCTTAGCGCTTTTAAAACAATAAATCATAACAGAAGCTATTAGAGTTATTAAACGAGAACACAATGGTTTGAAAAAGAGGCAATTATAGAACAAAACTGAATTTTTGTAAAAACTGGGGAAATGTGATTTTTCCAAATTGAAGGCTGGACAAAAAGGAGAGGAGGTCTAATTTCTGTCACTTTTTACCCCAACCTGTTACCTGTGGAAAGGTAGCCCCCAGATAGGTTCAGGTGCTCAGGCCTCACTTGGAGCTCCCTTGGAGCATTGGCTCAGCTGAAAGGAGAAAACAGGTGGGGAGAGAGCCTGTGGTCCAGTGCTCAGCCTGGGCTCAGATGGAGCTGGGGAGTCAGGTGGCCAGCTGGGGAGGCCAGGAGCCTGGCAGAGGGCCTAGCCTGCACTGTCAGCAGGGCCGTCCCTGTGCCCCAGATGCCTGCCCTCTGGGCAGGACGACCACACGACAGAAGACTTTGGGAATGTAGTGGCAGCTGTGCTGGCGTGTGTGCTGGGCACCCGTAGCCGAGATGGCCACATTTCTGTGCTACGTTCTGAGCTGGTGGGATTAGCTCGGTTAAGGTCTCCTTGGCCCTGCAGGCCCCGAGACTGATCAGCTGCTGGCTCCTTCCCTGGTCTCCTAGCAGATATGGGACGGTGTCACCTCCTCTAACCCACCCAGGGCAGACTGAGGGGAGCGCGAGGGGGATGGATGTGGTGGGGGCTGGGGGCTGCCCTGCACTTCCAACAGCTCTGTCTGCCCCACAGGCAGGGTGACAGCTCTGACTGCACCTACATCGTCCTCAGCGGCAGGCTGCGCTCGGTCATCCGCAAGGGCGACGGGAAGAAGCGTCTGGTGGGCGAGTATGGCCGTGGAGATCTCATTGGCGTGGTGAGGCTCTTGGACCCTCCCCGGGGGTCTCTGCTCGGGTCCCTGAGTGGGGGTGCATTGATGCTGCCATGAGGGGGTGCATGGGGAGGATGCATGCAACTCTTCCCTGACCTTCCAGAGCCTGGGTGCCTGTCTGCGGGCACCCACGTCTTGAAGGGCCTAGTTTTTTGGGTAGCCAGCTGGGCCCAGGATGGGCAAGGCAGCTGGAGCTAGACTAGTGGACAAGTCACCCAGATATCGGGGTGGGGGGCAGCTCCAGGGCTGGGACGCCTGTTGCTGTGTCTAGGTTCCCAGACATCACCCCTATCCTGTGGACAGTTGCTGAGTGAGGGGACCCTGTCACTTTTGTTCCCAGGGGTGTGCAGCTGGTTCTTTCTGCCCTGAACAGGTTTCCCAGGCTGAGGTTCCCCAACTTGGCCCCTGAAGAGGGTGTGGGAAATGGTTGTAGGTCTCCAAAGAGGACTGTCAGCCTCCCCCCTGCTCCCCTTCCCCGCACCCTCCTCCCCCTGAGTGGCCAGGCTTAGGGGTGTTTCCCGGCAGGTGGGAGGGGCACTGGGAGCCTCGTCTCCAGAATGTTCTGTGGCACTTGTACCTCTGCCCGGGCTTCCCTGGCTCTCAGGTGAGGTTCCACAAGCTGTCTGGCTCCTCTTGCAGGTGGAGATGCTGACTCACCAGGCCAGGGCCACTACGGTGCATGCCGTGCGGGATTCAGAGCTGGCCAAGTTGCCTGTGGGAGCTCTGACGTCCATCAAGCGCAAGTACCCCCAGGTGAGGGCCTGGCGGGGTGCTGGCTGGCGGCACGAAGGCGTGCAGCTTGTACTTTGAAAGGCATGGGCCCACAGGGAAGGGGGTGGGGTGTGGGGGGTGGGGTTGGTACCCTCTCCTCCAAGCCTCCCCACCCCCCGCCCAGTCAAGACATCCTTGTCCATCCAGGCCAGCAAGCACCCCCACAGGCAGGGCCCTCTGAGAAGTGGTCAGTGTCCACCCCTCAGCCTGTCGTGTGGGGTCCTGGGGTCTCCCAAGTGTCCCTGCCTGGCAGTGCCTGAGCAGAGGCTGCTTCTCTGCCAGGTGGTGACTCGGCTGATCCACCTCTTGGGTGAGAAGATCCTGGGCAACCTCCAGCAGGTGACCGCTGCAGGTAAGCCGCCACCCGGGCCTGCGGGGCCTGTGGACTGGCAGAAAAGATGGGGCATGGGCCTCTAGGGTGGTGGGGAGGCCTTCCCTAGGCGAGGCCAGCTAGTGTGAGCATTGTCCAGGACAGACTCTCCTGCCTCTTCCCAGCCCCACTGGGTCTCTGCCCCCGTTCTGAGTGGGCCGGGGGCTCTGGCAGCACCAACATGGCTGTCAGGGTCCCTGAGCCCCACTGCCTGCACATCTGCCATCCTCAAGCTGTACGAGGCCCCAAGGGAGGCGTCCCCACTTTATTCTCTGAGCTCAGGGCAGGGGGTGGGAGTGGAGAGCAAGACACACAACACATGTCCAAGCCACATGGCAAAGGAGTGACTGATTTAATACAAACTGCAGAAGACGTAATCTTTGTGGGCATTTCTGACAGTCTCCAGAAGTCCACCCCCCAGCCTGTCGTGTGGGGTCCTGGGGTCCTGGAGCTGGGGCGCGGGCCCATGAAGAGCAGGGTTCTTCTCCCAGTGCCGCACAGTGTGAGAAGTGAGGGCCTGGCCTAAGAAAGCAGTGCCACCCTAGGGCAGCAAAGAGAGAAAGAAGGAAGAGCCTTCATAGTCCATGCACACTGAGTCTGCATGCCAAGAGCCACCCAGACTGGTGAGGCAGGGAACACCAAGAGGGCAAAAGGCGCCTCGAATCAGGACTCCCACCCACTCCACCCACCCCCATTTGACCCAGTTCTCTGCTGGGTCCACCTGGTCAGTCTTGTTTCCACTGTCCAGCTCTCGTCCCCTCTTTGAGGAGCCCTGGTGGAGTCATGGTCACACACTGGCCTTTGAATCCGCCAGCCCTTCTGCGGGGGTAGACGGGGATTTTTGCTCCAGGGGGGTTGCAGGCCCGGGAGCTCCCAGGGCAGTTCCACCCTGCCCCACTGCAGGGTGGCTGAGTGAGTGTCCACCCACAGCGGTGGGTTTGATTTGGCGCCCTTCTCTAGTGTGGTCGCTTTGGGCTATCTTTGCTTTTTGAGGATTTCTACAGGTGGACGTTGGGGTTTTTCACTTGGGGCGGTCCCTTTCTTATGCCCCCCAGTGTCTGAGCCCCGCCCTCCATAGATTCCCTGCCAAGCCTGGCCTTTACTGCGCACGCGCCCTGCCCTTTGCACCTCCTCAGCTTCGCACCCCAGGAGACAGTGCCCTTGACCCGTGTATCACTCGGCAGAGTCACTCCTGGTCGGATTTCTGCCTTAGATCCACCGTGTGGGATTGCAGCTCTGGTCCCAGGATGTGGTCGGCCATTAGGACCCAGGATATGGTCGGGCGGGGGGGCGTGCCAGGTGCGCTGCAGGGGCCAAGCCCTGGTGGGTGCTGGGTCCCAGCCACACTCTGTCAGTGCCTGTTCAAGGTGGGCCTGACCACCTGCGCTTGTACCTGCAGGCCACCAGCATGGGCTCCCCATGGTGTACAACCAGTGGGACATGGGCAACCCGGCCAGCAACCTGTCCACGGTGGCCATCATGCCAGTGTCTGAGGACGTGCCCCTGACGGCCTTCACCCTGGAGCTCCAGCACGCCCTGCGGGCCTTCGGTGAGCATCCCCCTCTCCCCCCATCCCCACCCCCCCACCCCTTCCCTGGGCACTGGAGTGCAGCACCTGCTGATGTCACACTGACAATGCCACTCTCCATCTCTCCTGGGGGACCAAGATGCCACTGCCCCATGGAGTCAACTGCCCTCGACGAGCAACCCTCTCTCTTTGGGGCTCACCTCAAATCCTGACAGGAGCAGGCAGCCTGCCCACCCCCACCCCCAGGTCTCAGGGGTAGAGGTAGGGGTGTTCCCAATGCTGCTCAGAAGACTCCCTGGCCACATAATGTACCTGGGGTCGGGACAGCTTCCCATGTGTGACACCACAGCCCTGCCCTGGGCAGCTTTACCCAGAGTCCTAGTGGTCCGGCAGGCAGAGCCTTCAGACAGAGGGCACTGGGTGAGCGAGCACTATGCAAGGAGGCTACCAAGAGACGGGGAGGCTCCCCAGGCTTCCCTGGGATCTTCGAATCAGCGAATGCCTGCATGGTGAGCAGCAGCCCGCCTCTCCTGAGCACCACACTGACAGCTCTGAGCCGGTCTGCAGAAAGGAGGCTGATGGGCGCGGTGAGCGCTGTGCTCAGGAGACACTCGCCCTGGTGCGAGGGTGTATTTCACTATGACGAGGAAAGGGTGGCGAGCCCATATGGACATTCCTAACGGGAAGCAAAACGCCGCTGCCGTCAAGTCCATCCACTGCGCGGCCCCTCGGAGGGCTTCCCAGGCTGCTTCCCAGCTTTGTGGGAACAGGCAGCCTCATCGTTGTTCCGGGGTGACTGGTGCCCGTGAGCTGCTGACCGGGAGTTAGCAGCCCACTTTAGCCCACAGCACCACCAGTCCTGCTCTCTGGGAGGGGCGTTGGAGTCCAGATGCGTGAGCCTTCTGCTCGCATCCTGTCTCTGGCATCGAGGCCCGGAGGGGAGAGATGGTGGCCCTGTGCCTGGTTATGAGGAACCTCGAAAGGATTCCCATGGCTTCACCAGCATCCCGGCCTTCCCTCATTGCCTGTGTAAGGCCCTTGGACTGAGGACTGGCCAGAGGCGCACACTGGTCACACATGCCTTGTCTCCCCTCACTGATTGCAACCCTGCCAGGTCCTGCCAGCCCTGTGTTTTCTGTTTTCTTCCTTCCCTCATGATACGTTGACCTTTGTACTGGGGCCAGCGCTGCCCCCGATCTCAGCTGGTTAGCTGTTTCAATGTGTGCTTGCCTCCTCGTGTCATTGTCCCCTCTGTAGACCTGCTTTGTGGCCAGAGCCCCAGGGTAAGTGCCTGAAGGGGACGCGAGGGGGTGAGGCTCTTCTGTTAGGTGTGTGGTAAAAGGCCATCACATCTTCCTGATGGTGAACGAGGGTGGACAGCGGCTCATGTGCCCTTTGCTGCCACATGTGTGCCCTCTCTGGGGAAGGGCCCAGCCACAGCTTCTGCCGTTTGCTGAGAGGATAGCTTGATTTTTGTTCGGTTGTGTTTTGAGGGGTCTTTATAGTCTGTACCTGGCTGTGGCTGCAAAGGGCTGAAGCCCCACGTCTTCCCGCCAGAGTGGGGGGTGGGGCGGTGAGCGCCTTGTCTTTCCTGGGGTCAGAGTGGGACTTGGGTGCTCTTTTTTAAACAGTTCTGTTGACAGGTAATTCACATATCGTACAGTTCAATAGCTCAACCATATTAAGAAGAGTTGTACAATCATTGCCACAATCAATGTTAAAACATTTTCTTCTTTCTTGTACTCACTGTTATTAGCTCCTCATTTCCCCCAACCTCCCTGCCATACTGTAAGAAACCATGCATCCAGTTACTGTCTCGTTAGATTTGTCTCCCCTGGATTTCATATACAGAAAAAGATACCAAGGCCATAAAAAACAAAATTCCTTCTAAAACACTAAAAATAACAAAATAAAGCAGAGAAAAACCTCAATTGAAAAGAAAGCAGAAACTATTGAAAACTAGAACAAGTTAAAATGAGTCAAAAGGGCGATCAAGGTGTTAGGGAGAAAAGGTTTTAAATTTAACCTAACTGCCTCTGTCTTCACGCTCCAGTGTACTCTGCATGACGGCAAGGAGACTCATATTCTTAGTCTAGCTCAGAGGGCGTCCCGGAGGCCCACATGCCACATGCATGTCCCTTCCACTTTATTTCCCCCAGAAACAACTTTTAAATAGGTCAAAAGATGATCATATGAAAAGATCTTACATTTTAACCTAAGTGTATCTACCGGCATCAATTCTGCAATGCTCTCTGTCTGACAGCAAGGCTACTCACATCCCTGGACTGTGGTCAGAGGAGATTCATCAGAGGTCAGCCCATGTGGGGCTCCTGCAAATGAACTTGGGGCTTCCACTGTCATCTGCAGCCTGGTGCACACTGCATTTGCCTTTTGTTATTCATAGTCCTCAGATCACACAGGCTGGTGAGCTTCTTCCCTGTGGACTCAGTTGACACTTCACTTAGATGGCTGTTTATTTGAAGACATGCCTTTAAAACACCAGATACTTCCTTCTGATAGCAGGGCACCATCTCATTTCTTCACCACACTTTGCTATACAGAGACATGGGTGCTCTCGCAGGCATGCAGATGGCACACAGAGAGAGCTCAGGCTGAGCAGTAACGTTGGCTGGTGGCTCATCTTGCACTTTTTTGTTTTCTGGATATGTCTGGATTCCTTCATTTTTTTTTTTTTT